ATCAAGAATAATCCCAATCTGATTTGTGTAACTCAAGTTATTGCCAAAACTCTGAAACATGCCAATCCTGCCAAACCCTATTCTCTTGACTTTTTCCTCTTTCATTGCATCTTCACGCCACGTTTTTAGTCCATTTTCCCTCCAATTGAGCTTTTCACCTATTAGAACAGCATAAGAGCAAAATTAAGTAGTTTCTAAGTTAAAATGACATGATTAACAATCAACTTATACTTATAAATGTAATACAATTTATGCCCTATCACTCTATCCCTCCACTATTCATCTTGAAAATGATCATTTTCTTCATCTAAGATAGCTCGAAGTGGAAAACTATCCAACTGGCTTACTAACTCAAAGTCCATGAAACTGGTGGACGAAGACACCATAATCTACAAGAAATTTTTTGCCACCATTCTGGTTATAGGAACAAGTGAAGTAGAATTAGAGTTCACTTCCAAAAATATTGTAACTTTGACTAATATATTCCATACATTAAAAGTTAGGATATGTCAAGTAGTTTGTTGAACAAGTTTAGTTTTAGACTTGTTTTTGAGGTTGATAAGTTTGTGTTGTTGTCCAAGAATGGTACATTTGTAGGAAAAGGATATCTTTTGTGTTGTTGTCCAAGAATGATACGTTTGTAGGAAAAGGATATCTTTTGTGTTGTTGTCCAAGAATGATACGTTTATAGGAAAAGGATATCTTTTGTGTTGTTGTCCAAGAATGATACGTTTGCTTGATTCTTGTGTTTTAACTATTAATCTTGTAGACTACTCCATAAAAGGTGATATCTAAGGTGGATTAAGGGCTTTGGTGGTGTGATTTGGCAGAAAGAAGCACTTGGTTTCTATTGCTTCTTAGGATATTAAGGTAACTATGTCAAGAAATTCGTTTTTCTTTTAATACTCGCATAAGAGTGGTTTTAGGGCTTGATTTTGGTAGTTTTCATGAGAAATTTTATGGTTTGAGTGGTGGTTCAAAAATTTCAGATTTGATAGTGAAATTTCAGCTTTTAAATGATGTTTGACCTTGCCCAAGATTTGGTAGTTTTGCCATGTGAATTTTCTAACTTTTATAAGTTATTGTGGCTTGCTTATGGAAAGTTTCAACTTGTAGTTGAAATTTTCAACCTAGGGTTACAAATTTCAGCTTTGTTGTGGTTGATTTTTGAGCTAAAAATTGGCTATTTTTGGACGATTTTGTAGCCTTAAACAAAAGTACTTATAGCCTATAAATTGTGGTTGGATTGAGATGAAAATATGTGTTGAGTTTGGATGGAAAAGTAAAGAAAATAAGGGGAAGTGCTGCTGAAATTTTTACTACTTCCTTTCTTGTGAAATAAGTGATATAAGAGGGGTGATTTTAGATTGGTTTGGACTTAGGTTACATGTGATTTCTTGAGTGCACTTTGATGGTAGTGTATAAGCTGAATTTTGACAAAATATGTGTAAAATAAGAGGGAAAAGTGATGGTTTCTTCTAACATGCTTTCTAGTTGCATTTGTTTCACTTTAGGACCGAGGTTGGTTGTCTTTTTAACAATTTGTTGCCGGAAATTCCAATCATGAATTGGAATGAAGAACTCCTTGGTTACTCATGTCCCTTAGATCCAAATGTTCTCTTTTCACTCCAAAATCGTATTTGCATCTTTGCACTAGTAGTTACTTGGATTTTCTTTGGTTCACCTGAGTTGTGAATATTTGAACCATAATACTTTATCTTGGTTGTTCTTAGAGTTTGTTGGTGATCAAGGGCATAACTCGGGGGTGAACTTTTGACGTTGTTTTGCTTAAACTGGTGAGTGTCAAGTGCATATTTCTTGATATCTTGATTTGGATGATACCACGTGTTGTGTGTTGAATATTGAACCTGATGAGGCGAGAGTGTACTTTATCATGCTCATCCTCCCTTTGTTGAATCATCTTGTGCTTGCTTGATCTTGGTTGACCTTACTTGTGTTTGTACTTGTGCTTGACTTGTAAGTGCTGAGCGGCAGCATGTACCACACTCAATCCGAGTGGGAGGTGTCTCTCATCCCGTTTCAGTACTTTTATCTTGATTAAGTCGATTGGAAAGTTATCTCATCGACCCTAATGCTGAGCGGCAGCATGTACCACACTCAATCCGAGTGGGAGGTGCCTTTCATTCACATCTCAGTACCTCTATGTTGATTAAATTGATTGGAGAGTTATCTCATCGACCATACTTGTTCTTGCCTGGGTATATTCGAGTACTACCACCACTGTTTCTATTTGGTGTTCGGGTCCGGTAAGGGGTATGTTTGGTGGATAAAAAATTGGTGTAAAGTGGAGATCTATGGTCATTATTTTTACTTCTTTAAACGTTGACGGAGTGTCAACGGGTTTGGATCAAGCTACTGCAAGGGGAAAATTGGCTCTTGAGAGCTATCTGTATCCTTTTACTTGAATGCTCTGAATGAGTTGTGACGTTTACTTATTTCATTATTTGATGCTTATATTTGATCGATTAAAAGTTTAGTTATGTGATTTGTGATTGCGTGATCTTTTGGCACCTCATTGGGCGAAAACTCACCCTGTTACCCATTGTTTTCCTCACAGGGGGCAAAGTTTTGAGAGCGTGATTTTGGAAAAAGAGTTGAGTTAGTTTTAGTTTTATTTTGTTTAAACTCCTCTGTATTAGTAAACTTCATGTGTATTTGTATAAGTTTGGATACTCTGGCTTGTATTTTAAGTTGAATCTTTAGCGACTCCATTGTATATAGTTTTGGGTTGATGAATGGAAGTTAAATTGCGCGTTTTAGTACTTTCTGTGAATTTTGGTTTAGTAGTCCTGACGAGAGTTGGGCAGGCAGTCCACTAACCCTTGGGGTACGCCCTAAGGGATGGTGGGGCTGTCACATTAAGCTTTGGAACTGTGCTAGTATATGAATTTGCCGATGTAGTTGTGGTAGTTGTAGAAAGGCTAAGTGGGAAACTGGTGGTTGTGGACAAGGAACATTTTGGGGAATTCAAACTTGAAGAAATAATGGCGGAAGAGCAAAGTGGTGGCTTTTTGGTGGGTTTACTACTGAAGGTATACTTTCCTTCTATGATTTTTATTTCTTTCCTTGGTTGTTTTTTTTTTTTTTTGGGGGAATTCAAAGTGTTTGTTTCTTTCCTTCGTCAAACCTCAAGGGAGGTAAATATAATTAATTTTAAAACTTACCATTTCTTTCTTCTTCCACCTGCCATCACCACACATCCCTAGTTACCCAGCATCGTTCCTCCTCTCTTTCCTCTTCCACCGCCACTATCAGTCCTCCCTCTTCCTTCCCCTCCTTACTCTTCTCTCCTCTATTTTCCTCTCCCTTTCCTTCCCTCCTTCTACCTCTTCTCTCCTCCCCTCCTTTCCTTTCCCCTTCTTTCCCTTCCCCCCAAGCCCTTTTGCCTTCCTTTCTCTTCTCTGTTCATGCTAGCCACAATCAAATTTGGTCACAATCTCCTCTCCCCTTTCTCCCTCTCTTTGGATAACAAAGAAATTTATAGTTATTAGCATATTAAAGCAAAATTTAAAATTAGAAATTTGCATATTATTATTTAGTAGTATTTTAGTCAAATTAGGATTTTAATAATTTTATTGGAGTCAAGTTCTGGGAGTTTTATTGTTTAAGAACTAGTAACTTATTAGAAAATTTCTTATAGTTGTAAGACTTCTTTATTAAGTTATCTAGTCTGTAAATAAGGAGTCATATTATTGTATTTAGTTGAGAAGAGTGAAGGATTGAGAGCTTTGTTCTTATAATGTAATTAATAAATTATTATTGGCATTATTCCTCTTCTCCCACACATATTTGTATGTATGTAAATTGCCTCCCTTCATATTGATTTTGTCAAATATATCTCCAATAAGTTTTTTATTTTTTTTTAGTCCTATATCTGATATCAGAGTTTCAGGTTTTGGGTTCTTGATAACAATAACAGACTATCAATATCAGTTCCTGGATATTGATTTAGTGCTACAGAGAGTGAAGAAAAATCCCCTATTGGAGTTCAATTGGGTTTTGAAAAAAAGTTATTTGACCCGTTGGAACTCGTTGAGGGTTTTGTGAATAAGGTGAAGTAAGATTACTATGTTTGTGTTTTAGTCAGTTGGGATCTATTGAACCTTTTGTGAGTTTTGGCTCATTGGGATCTGCAGAGTCTTTTGCATCTTGATTCATTGGCGGCTCGTTAGGGTCCATTGGGACTTTTTGTGATTTGTGGAGATCCATTGGAACTTTTGTGGAGAAGGTGGAGCTTGTTTGTTTTTTGTCTACCATTTATCAATATTGGATACATGCCAAGATGAAGATTTGTTGAATTTGTCTTTGTATTCTATATCGAGAATTTTACAAAGAAATTTCTTATCATGGTGGTTATAAATATAATGGTCTTAAGTGAGTTTAAGTGTACTAAGGACATCAAATCAAGTGTCGTATGCATCAATCCAAGAGAGTTTTAGGGCCTCATGCCCCAATCTGAGATGAGTTTTGGTTAAAAACATTTTTATAGTATTCACGCTTAAAGACACGCATCAAAGGGAAATTTAAGTATAAAAATATTTACGTGAATCCTCACAGGTAAAAAACTACAAACTCCATTTACTTGGGCCCGAAGTGCATATTTTCTTGGACATTGTAAAAGTTAAGAGCACAAAATTGATTACAAAAGCTTTTCAGATTAAAAATCTGACCAAATATTTTGATCGAAAATAAAAGGGAGCAAAGTGATGTTGATATTAATTTAGGGAGCAAATTGCAACTACCCATAATTACTAGGGGGATAAGTGTAGTTAACCCTTAAGTTTGTTAGTTAATTGACTAATTGGTTCACGTTTTAATGCTTGTAATCATCTTAGCAATTACCACTCCCATTGTGGGATACTTGTATTCATATTAAACAAAATGAACAACCATTTTTTGCTAATTAAAGGACTTCCATTTTGAAGGATAAACAAGCAAAATTTAAATGTATAGGTAGTGAATTTGTATCGATCCCACTATTACGGACTAAATTTTAATCTTATTAAAAACCAAAAATACACACTGTGAACTCAAGAAAAGATGAAATAACTCGTACATAAACTCCTTACATATTAACAAAAGTCCTCCATCTTTACATCAACTATGATAGCAGGACTCAAAAATTGCAAGGAAGATGAGGAACTAGATCTTAAGCAGAGACAAAAATAATTCCGTTCACGAAGGTATATCTGTTTGCTTGTTTTATTTATTTAGTTTTTCACTGCCCTTCAAAGCAATCACTTCTTCTTCCTCATTCGTTCGTTGTAAAATCAAGTGTCCTAATTGATCAACTTCTGCAGTCTATCGTAAATTGTCAAAGTATCTACGCCAAGTCTAGAAACTTTAACCTGCAAATTAAGAAACAAAAGGATGAAATGCCAGTTTAGGATTTTAATCTCTTCAATTTACCAAGTTTTCCTAATTCTAATCCAGTAAATATTTCTTTCTTTGAAAACTAATAGGATTGATAAGCACCTGAGCATGCAATATGTGACAAATTCTATTGTCCATGGTAGAAATGCTAATGCTAACTACTTCCACTCCTTGTTCTTCAAGAACTATGATGACTTCGTGTAACCCAAAGTTCTTCCCCAAACCAGTTACTAAAACCACTTCTAAGCTTGAACCAATTTCTCTGATTTTCACAACTCGAATTCTTGATCCCGGAATGGCTGAATTTCCGGTATTAGAGCCCTTTGTTTTAATTTTTCTCTTTACTAGCTCTTTTGTCTTCCTCAGTTTCTCTACTCTGTCCTTTAATTGCATGATATAAGCAGCAACTTGATCAATCTGATCTCGTTGGGAAAGCTGTTCCTGCATTTACCACGTAAGAAACTTTAAACTTTGTTATCAAATGCAATACAAGTAAAATCTATGAATATGAGAAGCTATGTGAAATTGAAATTTGCTTTTTACTAATATTAAATATCCACATAGTTCGTAGTCCAAAAAGAAAGGTAATTAAGAACCAAACTTCCAGAATGAATTTGAAGCATTGTATCACATAACAAAACAATTAAATCCAGAGCATTTAGGTATACACTGAGGTGGTCCTAATCATGTGAAAGTTACTTAGTGATGGACTCATTCCCTTAATTGGACGCAAAAAATGGAACTAAAAATTGATGAAGTTACTTGCTAAACAATCATTGAATCTGACCATATATTTTACTCGGTGAATATTAGAGAATGAACAAAAATAAAAGTTTCTTGCACTTAGTCTCAAAAATGTCCTTCAAAATCCTCTAGTAAGAGTGTTAGATGAAATGAACTCAGGACTAAATAAATGGAGATAACTATAAATTCGTGAAGACATGACCATATTCTTAAGACACTTGTCGGGATTCCAACGCTTATGTACACGTTCAAGGAAGTTTTACAAATAAGTTGAGATTCAATGTATTCATCAATTTGGGACACTTAACCGTCAACTTGATTTTGAGTTATCGCCTGTCTCATTCACGTGCTATAGATATTTCCTCTACGATTAACAATGCTTAGACAAATACATTGAACTTCACCAAGGCATTTTCTTCACATGGAACATGTGTTTTTTTTTAACAAAATTGTCTGATGATGCAGGTAGTGAAGGAACTGATCAAGTAGAAGAACTTCTCTCTTGGCGACAAGGAAACTAATAAATTGATATTTTAACTAACGAAAGGATGCAATTCCATAAGTATAATTAGCAATTCAAGATTAGAGAGGCCAAGCTTTGTTTCTGTTGGAATTTCATCTTTACGTGACTTTAACACATTCTCAGGTTAGGCCATATGACTCTTCCATGTAACTTTACCTCGTTTTCTTAGCAATATATGTAGGAATCTGCCAGGGTACCCCATCATTTGAAGGAAGAAGGAGAAGGGATGCAACAAATTAAACTGGTACAACCCGAATTCTTGAAAATAAAAAAAGGATAGTACACATGTATATGCACTTCTTATACACGACACAGATGATGTTACAAATGGATTGATTTCCTCGGGATGCATTCTGGACAACAAAGAAAGCAAAAAACGTGGTTTGACAAAACCCTAAACTGTTCTAGTTGCAAGAATGAAATATTTGCAATTTGTAAAAGGAGAGTTAGTGTAGAATTCTTTCTAATTACTTGCTAAAAAGAGAGTTAATGTAGCTAATGCAATATATCATTCTACATGTCTCATGCCATAATCTTCACACCTAACTACTTTCTATGCTTTAAATTTGTACCCAACGTCAAAACCAAGTACTCCATTCATCCAAAAAGCAAAACAAAATTTCATTATTCATTTCAAAATCAGAAATACCCAAAATGAAAACAGGTTCAGGTTGGGGAGAGGGATATGTTCGGTGGAGCAGTAAGAAGGAAGGGAGTGCAGGTGAGAGGTACCGGATTGGAAACTTTCTACTTACATTTTTATTTTAAAAAAAAAAGGATCCAGGCAGACATTTATAAAGAGAAAGACAAAGCACCTTGGATGGCACAAAATGCTGGGGAGGAACAAGAGATGTAAGCTCATGAATGAGACCGTTCATGCGAATCCTTCTGTTCCTCTCAACAGTTTTCCTATCAAGCTTTCCTGAAGCATCATTAATACTATAATTCTCCATAAACCCACCAAAAAATCTCAGCAAATCCCTCGGAAAACAGTTCATACAAAAACAGCTCAGAAGGCCAAAAACAGTATAATGTGATTTGAAGGATCGTTTCCAGGGTTTGAATGGCCAAGAATCCAAGTGTATTTGTAGGCAAATCGTGTCAAATGTGCAGATTATAATCGTTGGTGTGAAATTGAATTTTTGTCATTGATCAAGAAGCTTGAGTAAACTGTAAAGACGAGGATCCTTCGCGAGAGGAACAAGAATTACAAAGTACAAAGGATGCGGGTCCCAAAACCATACAACGTACAAAGATGTTTGAACTAGAATTCCACTGTATTTCCTTCGGGTCCGCATAGGTTGGCGGATCTGGGCTCTACACTACAGTTACGGATAATGATAACTGTAGAGTCAAAGGGAAGTACTAAAATTGTGGACTCTCGGACACCAAGCGTCAAATGACATTTATCTTTTCCTGAGAATTATATAATTCAACTTTTCTTGTCCCTTTTTTCAACCTTTTTTTAAATTCTTTTATACCTTTCTTTATAAAAAAATAATCTCCTATACAATGATGTTATGTACAGTAACAAATTTAATGTATGTCACATATGAAAATTTTAAATTTTAAATAAGAATTAAAATTAATTGCCATGCATCCAATCTTGCCGGTAGGTAAAAGATTAATTTTTTTTTATAAATATACAAATTTATTATACATATTGATTTAGAGCGAAGCTTCCGCTCCATAATTAATACTTATGTACACGCCGCCCCCATCTTCATTCATTGTACGGTACGGAATAGCAAAACCAATGGTTGACTTGTAACACAGCGATTGGCTGATAGATAAGTTATCACAGTAGGGGAGCTGCACCGTCCACGATTCACAAGAATGATCCAAAGGAAGAAACAAAAACTGTAGACTTCTCAAATCATCGAAAATTCATTTTTGCTGTCCAACTTTGATACTCCTTTCAGCTGGCTTCTTTTTGTGTCTCCACTCTTCGTCCTCACTGCAACGTCTTTTTCATATGCAAAATTGGCTATTTCATATTGGTTATTTACCTCTTTCATCTCCTTTTCCTCCTGTCTGAGCATATACACGTTATCAGTGACGCTTTAGTTTGACACTAACTGTACAGACTATCATTACTTTGGGAGGTAATATATATTCACGGTTCGATCGATGGACATAAGAAATAATGCTTCAAGTTAGTACGGTCTTAACTTTTTTTTCTTTGGTAATTTATTGAAACAACAGCCTTGTAACCTTTGTTTAGCTATTCAACAAAATGGTTATTATGGACTGTAGGATAAGTCTATTAGGAACAACTATCACTCAAAATAATTGTTTAGGTAGTAGACTGTGATTATATCATATGTCATATATTAATTGGACTCAAGATTGATATGCCTAGTGTACATTTTATAAATAAAAATGAGATTGATGGAATGAAAGTGTACATTGTCTTTATATGCACAAAGGCCTAAATTGGATGTAGATGATAACTGTTTATCCCTTTTAGCTTCCATTTGTTATTTTTGTCCTCAAGTTTTTATATCAATCGCTCTTTTGTGATATGCTTTAGTTATGGATTTGATTCTGACGATACACAAATATAAGCACCACCATTCATGATCGTACATAGTTTCGATGAATTCTTGAGAACTAAATTAAGAACTATTTATTATGAGGTACAGACATAATAATCATCTTTTATCATATATATAGATAATTAAGAATTACTTATGGCACACACTAAAAGGTCCCAAAACAATTGAAAACAAAAAAAAGAAGAGAATGTTTGACAGGCTTGACGTTTGAAGTTATACTTTAATCATCCCCATCTCTGAATTTATTCCATCTCGGTCAGCCACTAAGTCCGGAACACAATTTTTTTAAAAAAATAATTTATCTGATAAAACAACAAATATGTACTACTCAGATATAAAAAGAAATAAAAGGTTTCCAGATACATCAAATGTAGTGACCAAGAAATTAATAAAAAAAACGAATAAAAGCAACAGTGTCGCCGCATCTTGGTGCATTTTTTTAGGGACTGAAATGCAAAAGTTTTCAAATTGTGTTAAAAAAAATTAACAAATGAATATGGAATTTCATGGTCGCCACACAGCTCAATTGCAGCGACCCTATATGAAGAAATGGTGCTGATATTTCCTAGTTTTGTGACGTTTTTTTTTTCTCACATTAGTTCTAGAAATTTGCCCTCTAAAGAATGTCCAATTCAATTCAAGAATCACGCATTGATGCCTATATGAAGAAATGGTGCTGATATTTCCTAGATTTGTGACGTTTTGTTTTTCCTCACATTAGTGCTAGACTGCTAGAAATTTGCCCTCTAACGAATGCCCGATTCAATTCAAGAATCACGCATGGCATCCAGGTCACTATCCAGAGAGACAGAAATTTGCCCTCAAGCAATGCCAAATTCAACGAGAATCACGCATGGTATCCAGATCGCTATCTTATCCCTCACGCGGATACGGACACGAGAATGTCAGAAGTAAGACCGTTCCGACTTATTGTAGGGAAAAGGCAAAAAAAGATTCAAAATGTCTTCAGTGACAAGGTTAGAGTTTTCTGCTGTCAGCGCGATATACTGTAGATATAATAATATAACAGATGTAGAGACTAACATACGAAATGTAAATGTTAACATAATAAGATAAAAAAATATAATAAACTTTTGGATGCCAATTTCAAGATGTTAAAAAATTTATTGTATTTTGTAGAGCAAATTATTTGGATGGGACCAAATTTTTGGAATCGTCAAGTTTTGGCTATTAAACTGTTAAAAGTCTGATTTTGACCATTGAACTATCTAAAGTTTATATTTTGAGTCATTCTAGATTTAATCGTTAAACTTGAAAGATTTGAGTGCTCACACAATTCACAAGACAAAAGAAAGCGGCATAATTAATGATTATATCTAATATAATGGCCCGAAATCTAAATTTTAGCTAGTTCAATGGTTAAAACTAGACTTTTAATAATTGAGTGATCAAAACACGAGCTTGATTTCAAAAGTTTAGTGGCCATCTGAATAATTTGCTTTATTTCGTATTAATGTCTATATTTATTATAGGGTTTTTCCAATGGATAGATGCTCCTAGATCACTCTATTAACACACCTATATTCCATTCAACCTAATATACATCTATACACTAATAATTACTAGTTTTTCTTGCCCTTATACAATTTTTCTAATTAATCCCTTTGCATTTATATGTTTTTCCTAATTAATTTTATATTTTTAAAAATTTGACATTTGAAATACATTTCAATGAGTGTCAGGTTATTAGTATTTGTAATACTACTGTCTGTAATGCACAGTGCCGTCACCATCCAATAAGAACAACTCCAGCTATTGTGTGGAGTATATCCAATAAGATCATGTACCTGTACAGAGCATATCCACCCATTCCTACAGCAGCCACACGAAGGATAATAACCGGAATAAAGCTCCAGCTGGAAGCCGTTTTCCCCTTTTTCCCTACATTTTTTTTGGGCAAGGAAGGCGGGAAGTCCCAGTGGCATTTTGGTCAACGAGCTTCACAAAACACAAAGCAATCAGAGTCAACAGACCATTATAAATATTTAAGGGATAATTTCAAAACCTTCCTTGAAATTTAATTTTGTCTAATATCACTTAGAACCTCTAAAATTTTTGAAATATAACTTACCTCCTCGTTAGTTAGATGGGACCACTAATCACCATCAATACATATGGATTGACAAAATTACCCTTGCTAACTTAACCATTCTTTAGGCAAATAAATATAGAAGAGAAAACCAAAATCATTAAAATACAATGGCTATTTCAATATTTTTGGCACTTACAGCATTTTGCTATTTGATCTTCCTATGCGAGCTAGGTATTAATTATCCTTGATATTATAATAATTATTTAGTCCAATAACATATAATAAAATCTAAATTTATAAAGACAATGGCTACTCGAACAATTGTACTTAATTATCATTATCCGGCCAAATTTCTTAGCGTTCCTGTATGAACTTTATATTAAAGCACCTTTATTAAAGCTAACATTTACATAGGCCAAAAAAGGGTTGGCTGTGAAAATACTTAACATCACGGTTCCCTTACTTTTGTTGTTTTATGCCAATCTTATAGTTACTCTCGCAAATTAAAAATAACTTATGCAAAAGAAATGGACAAGAAAGAACCAAAATCTATAGATTTGGCGATTTTAATAATATTTTTTCCCAAACATCCCCGTCCTCAACTTTTAGTTTTCTTATGTCAATATTAAATCAAATTATCCTCACTATTCTAACCATTATATATGTGAAAAAATAAAAAGTAGAAGATAATAAATATAAATCTATAAAAAATATAGATAATCTAATACTTGTATTGCATTCACACATCTCTCTTTGCCACATTTTTAGTCTTTATATGCCAATCTTTTAATTAAGTTTCCTTTGTTATTTTAACAATTATGTAAGCAAAAAAATCTGGAAATAAACGAAGACAGAAAAAAATAGTATTCTACCAATTATTGTTGCACTCAACACTCCCTTCAATCATTTTTAGTTCTCCATGCAAATATATGTTAGAAATCAATTTGGAAAAAAAATTTCAAAATAGGACAATACAAAAGGGCAAAGTTGGAATAAAAATACATCTATCTCTATAAATGGTTAGGGACAATCGCCAATTTCGTCCCTAAACTTTTTTTTTCTGTCGATTTAATCCCGATACATTATTTATAGCCAATTTAATCCCTAAACTTATATTTCGCTTCCAATCAAGGAGCTTTGCGGCGGAGCCACCACATAATTTTCTTCAAGCTCCCAATTGAGCAACCCAGAAGGGGTATTTTTGGAATTTCAATGGTGGGCCCGTAACAAAAATTAAAGTTCTTGTCTTTTCAACGCATCACGCTTGAGATCTCAACCATTTGCAGATATTGTATGCTACTATTCCTATATTATAGTACGTCTTTTTCTTCGGTAATTTTTTTTTCAAACAAAAAAAAATCTTTTATTTGTTCTCTCCTTCTCGACTAAGGTTTTTTTTTTTCTGTTTTGGAGGAGGAAATTTGGCTGCAATCCTGCATCCGTTTAAGGGTGTTTAAATTTTGTCCAATATTCATGATGCAGGTGCACGGAGAAGGAGGCGCCTCTGGAGGAGTCACTAGAATTGAGTCGGTCAGGATTGAGGATACATACTGCATAAATTCCACATCCTTCTTAAGTCCAGCCATAGTCTCTGGTGCTAAAACAACTTCCAGATCGACGCTCCCATTTCCTTCACGCCCTGGGAATGCCGAGATCTTGCCATCAAATTTATTGGTCCTACCGCTTCGCACTGCAATGGGTTGTCCCCACCCAAAATCATTATCATACATTGGAAACCTTGGGGAGCTTCCCATGGTGATCATCGCGCCGTCAAAGTTCCCCAGCGGAAACAGCCTTGGATTACTCTCCCATTCCTCGACACCCCGTCGCACCGTGGAATCGTCATGCGCCAACACATTTCGATGCAGCCGATCCGCACCCCAGGACGGGTCGTTGCCCAGCAGCTCCTCCACTCAAGCCACGGTTGGGATGCTCTGGATCAAGTTACCGAAGTAGACCGGGTCCACCCACGGCTCCAGCCGGTGTCTACAGTTCCATGGTAGCTGACCTCCTGCTTCATCTTGAACGACCACACACGGGGGATGGAGAAAATCCAGTAGAAAACGCAAGGCGTTGACCTTTCCGACGGCCGAGACTGTGGCCCAAGTGAAGATGGAGGAAGCCATGATGGGAACGCACGCGAACAGGAGGTGCTCCAAGGCCAGGACGATGGTGGGATACTCGATTTGGATCCACTTGAATTGGAGGGAGACCAAGACCCCTATCAAGAAATTGGTAAGGGCGCAGGCGAAGGAGGCGAGGAGACCGAGGGAGACGGAATTGAAGGTGGAGAGCAGGAGGGAGGAGCTGAAGAAGAAGGCGATCTGAGCAGCGATGAGGGAGAACCAGACGGCGAAGAAAGAGCCAGGCTTGAAGGCCGCCACCCCTCTTCTATGAGAGCTGAGCAAGAAATTCTTTTGTTTTCATTTTGGGTTTTGAGTGGGTATTTCTTATGAAACTTTTGTTTCGGTTAATTTTGGTTAATGGCTCCGGAATGGAAGTTCCTAAAATACCCCTTCTGGGTTGCTCAATTGGGAGCTTGAAGGAAATTGTGCGGTGGCTCCGCCGCTAAGCTCCTTGATTGGAAGCGAAATATAAGTTTAGGGATTAAATTGGCTATAAATAATGTATCGGGACTAAATCGACAGAAAAAAAAAATTTAGGGACGAAATTGGCGATTTTCCCTAAATGGTTATTTTAAAATATTTTTATGATGCAGGGGTGAGTTTGTTACAAAACATATGATTTTAGCAGAGATTAGCGATTATTTTTGAAACTTCAAGTGCACTAAATGATACTAGGCTAAACCTCAGGGGAAGTTTCCAAACTTATCCCAATATTAAAAGGGAAAATTTAATAAACTTACCTTGAGGTTTTTGACAGTTGCACTTGACACCCCTTAACTTTGAAGAATATTGCTTGCCTCTCCAAATTTTAACTTTTTGTAACATTTCCAATCCATTTCAAAGTATATTATTTAAAAACTTATTTTCAATAGAGAAGATGTTATCCTACTTTTTCCCAAAATTACAATCATGTAATAAAAGGTTGAAAGTAAAGACAAACTATGCAAATATATAATGCTGATGGGATTTGTATCAAAACAATAGTTTAACATACAAAAAAAATTGGTTTTAAGGACATATTGACGAGGCTCTAACCTACGTTTTAAATTTTACCCTAATTTCCTCATTCACTGCAAGTATATAAGTCATGGCTCGTAGTATTAGTGAGCTAGAATCGATCTCATGAGGATCATTTCCAACTACTAAAGCTTTCAGCTCATTCTATTATCTAAACTAATCAAGAATTTTATCTAAAGTAAAATAACCACAATGCTAAAACAATGCTAGGAAAATTAACAATTTGAAGAAATTCAACTAAACAAAAATGCCCTAGGGTATAGAATCCACTAAATGCACCCAATATGGATAAAATAGTCAATTATCACTAATGCTCTTGTTTTGCTAAGGATACATTTTACTCAAATCATCGGAACTCACTCTCACCAATGAACCGAATTTAGCCAACACTATAGTTTCCCTGCTCTCATGGTGAAATCCAAAGTGAAGACTTAATCTAGATCTAGAAATGCCAAAAACATCCACCTAAGTGTACCACTACTTTTGTGTGCCTACTCCTTAGATTCCACCTATTCCATTTTCATCATTGTGAACTATTCTAGTAGATTAACAACAACTATCATGGCTTGTAAATGGTAATCAAACATTCACAAGTGTTAAAACACGAATAAATGAACTAGCAAGTACAAGATATAGCAATAATCAACTTTATTCAACCATAATTAAGGCACAAATAGCTTCATCTATCCCTAGAACACGAAGATTTAACTAGGCATAGTAAATTTAACAATAAAGCTCATATTTTCAATGTAATTAAACATTAATGAGACAACAAAAAGAGTAAAGAGAAAGAAGTGCTTATTCAACTAAAGAAATAAGATCTTCATACTTCACCATCTTCATTGTCATCAAAAATACATTGTTACATCAAGAGTTATTCAAGAAAAATAAAAACTAGATCTAAAACTATACTAAACTAAACTAGAGAGCAAACAGAAGAAAAAGTTCTTCTTCTTATCAAGAGCTAATCTCTCCCCTTAATAATGTGTTTCTTCCTTGTTAAGAGTCAAGAAAAGAAGCTCTTAGATTCCTCAAAAGTTGGTACAAGTTGCCCTTTTTTGTCTTGGCAAAAATGGAGAAAAACATAAAAGTCATGCAAGTTGGGAACTTGTAGTTGTCATGAATCCCTTGAGAGATTCTTCCAGGGATTATACAGAGCATGTGATTCGCTACAAAATGAGCACTTTGCCTAAAATGCCTAGCAGGATGTACAGAGTAACCCTCAAGGGTTTTTTTTTTAAAGAAACATCCTTGAATTGCACCACCTTTTTTAGACATTGTTGTGACTTCTCAACCTTTTAATCCTCGTTTTGTTAAATCACCATTTCGCTTCCAATTGAGTTTGATAATTTTACCTATGAAAACAAAGTGATTTTGCAAGTAAAATGACAAAATCACAACTAATTCACCTATCAACTTAAAGTGCAAATTAAAGACAAAAATGAACAACTTATACTAAAAAATAATATGAAACATATTCAAAAAGATCACAAATTTAACCATTATCACATATTCAAAGCATTTTCAAGATAAAAAGATTATTCCTTTATTGTAAAGTGTTTTGGTCAATTTGAGGAGTTTTTCAAATTTTTTGAATTTTTAAAATTCTCTAAATTTGCTATCTAGATTGACAGCATAAAAAAAAAGGCACAATGTTTATGTTTACAAGCTTACTTGAGGCTTTTCAAGGACCAAAATTTATTTTCTTAATTTGAAAGTATTTGTAGATGAATTTAAGTATTTATGGATTATATATAATTTTTTTCAAAGATTTTAACTTTTTGTCAAAATCAATGGCTCGAAAACTTGAAAAGTATAAAATTCTTATATATATATATATATATATATATATATATATTTAGAAGATTATTTAAGGTGTTTTCAAGGTAAAAAGTGTCATTTTCTTCATTGTAAAACTCTTAAGTAACTTAATGAGTTTTCTATATTCTTTAGAATTTCAAAATTTTATTATATTTCTTGTGTAGATTAATGACAAAAAATTATTAATCAGTTTTTCAACCTTGTTACTACCTTGTAATTTCTAATTAAAAAATAGTATCAGCTAAGTTTTAAAAAGTTAAGGAATTAATTAGGTTTTTTATGAAAACAAAATGGTTCACGAGGGAAAGGGCAATAGTGGAATAAAAATATATTCTCTATCCACAAATGAATTTTCTAATAATATACTTTGAAATGGAGTTGACAATGTTACAAAAAGTTAAAAATAGGATAGACAAGTGATTTTTTTGAAGTTCATGGGTTTTAAGTGGTATTGTTACAAACATCAAGGGAGGTTTCCAAGATTATTCCATATCTTGCCGTAGAGTTAGCCGTTTTCAAATGTAACTTGAGACGGAGATAGGAAAGCCGAACTACAAGAGTAAGATGAAACAGGTTTTGCTTGGTTGAAAACTAATACTTGGAATGTAATCCACAAATTACTGTGGAGCAATATTTTAGCAGATCAACATTAAGCATTCCAGGTACTATTTCTGTGACAGCCCCACCTTTTCCTAAGGCGAACCAAAGGGTTCGGCGGACTGCCTGCCCTACTCTCGCCAGGACTACGGAGCCGAATCGCACAAACCCTATATTATGCGCGATAGAACCCAAAGAAAACAAACAATCGGAGACCACCAAGCCAAAATATAACCTACCAAACCATACGGTGAAATGGGACATCGATTAAACACTTCAATGAAAGGAAAACGGAAATGAAAACGAAACGAAAAGTGCGCCACGTCACAATCCGGCCGGAAGTTAGCCGGATATCCGGCCGGATTCGAGGCAATAGCGAAACCAAAATTTTTTCAACTTTCCCTGTCAATCCGGCCAACAACTGGCCAGATATACGGCTGGATTCTCTGAAGAATTTTCCCGCCAGAAATTTTTCTTTCCTCAATCAAACGCCGCGCTCGCCCGGTCTTCCAAAGGTTACAAGTAAAGTTCATATACACCCATAGAACATACATTCACTAGTAAATACACGAAGGAAACATGAATAAACACTTACATACATACGTTGGAACTTTACAAGTCAAAGTGTGATACTTGAGTAAAGTATAATTAGGGTTTTCTATTTCAAAAGAACTTAACAAAAGAACATTTACACTAGCTCGACCCTTTCTTCCAAAATCATGTTTTCAAAATAGTGAACCCTGTAAGGATAACAAAGATAATAGAACGGGGTGAACTTACACTCAATAAGGTACCAAACATATAAGCAGTCAAGAATCATGGCATTTGAATTTAAATAGTCAGGTATACACGCCAGATGTAAAATGAAACATTTAAACACAATAATTCAAAGAGAAAGGATACAGGTGACTCTCAGGAGCCAAATTCCCATTTGCTTCACCAGAGCTTGATTAAATACTAGTTGACACTCCGTCAACTCTCAAGTAACATATCCAGTCCAATAGAGCACCATTTTACACTAAATTCCGTCCACCGAACATACCCCTACAGGGCCCGCAAAACAAACAGAAGCAGAGGTAGTAATACTCGAGTATGCCGGAAATCCAGAGTCTCCAATATCCAAAGATTCCTCAGAAACAGACTCCCATGGATTGTCAATTTTCTCGATCAAGCCCTTGCTAGCTCGATTCAATTAACTACCCATGAGGTTGAGCTCAAATTTCACAGGCACAGGAAGGTCGTTGGATACAAAACTCCAAATGACATCAGATCAGACACGGATAACAGATTCAAGCTTATACAGTAAGCAGATACACAAGTTAGAGAACGAGTATGATAAAGTACACCCTCGTCTCATACAGAATAAATAGATAGTACAGTCATTCAAGTCACAAATTGCAATTACAGATAAACCAAGTTGAGCAACAAATGAGGGGAGTGGTACACTCACCAGTTCAAGCACAGATACTTCAAAAGTTTTCACCCAAAGTATGGTTTTAATCGCCCAAAAACCTTAAAATAACCAAGGTAAAACAATTATGGTTCCCCAGCTACAACCCAGTAAATGGAATACATAAATGAGGCTCGACTACAAGTCGGGTGAGAATAAAAATGTGACTTTTGAGCAACAAGGATAATAGTTGGTCCTAGGGATACGAACAACCCCAAAACCCTTCATTTTTACCAAAATGCAACTCAAACTTAAAGAAATCAAACGGCCAAGAAAATTGGACAACATTTCCCTTTAAATTCCTTACTTTTCCATCCTACACTTAACCACCAACATTCACTCAAAACAGCCGCAATCACACACACAAATTATAAGCTATTAAACACACTTCCTTAGGGTCACAACACCCTTCACATATAACCATTAGATAGCTCCATAATCAATC